AAAGTTCTAACTATGATGGAAGGGTAGGTTTGTGTATGTCCCCTCTTCAAGGGTGGGGGGGGGCGGGGGAGCAATCAACAAAGTCTTTTGTCTGCTGATGTTCCACAATGGTTTGTCTGGTGTCTATGGGCCTTCTTTTGTTGGGCAGGAGATGACACTACTTATGGTAAACTAGTTTTTCACACTTGGTAATGCTTCTCTCCTGAATGTTGGGGTTTCCAATTTCATAGCATACACTTTTATAGTTACAAAGCAAACACTTAAATATTACCTTATAACACAAGATACAGATATTATAATGAAATTAATGTATGCAGCAACTCACAAGAATTTCATAAAGTCCAACAATAAACACTTCTCTATAAATCTAACACCTATTTTAACAATAGTAACACACAGGTGAGCCAGACCGATTTCCAGCTCTACATTTATCATTGTTCAGTGAGGCCTAGGGGCCTTGGGATGAGCTGGCACCGGGTCTGCCAGTGTCATAGCGCCACCATAACTAATCTGGTAATTATGAAATGATTTAAGGGATCAGTGTAGGGAAAGTAGACCTACATCTAAAGTTCACATAAATCATAGTGAGAGGCACACAGTTTTCAAACAATCTGAAAGTGCACAGCTTTCATACAAAAAATAAATAAAATTTCTACAATTCATGCAAAGAGAAAGTTGAGAGAGTAGAGATATAATAGAGGTAGATAAAATAATAATTAGTAAAAAGAATTTGGTAAAGAACTTTTCCTTTATTGCTAGCCACAAAATTGAATTATGCAAGTTTTAGTTGCATAAATTCAGGGATAATAGTCTTATCTTTTAAAAGTTAATCTGATACAAGGTAGCACTATAAAATTTATGGGGGGTTTTCCTCTCCACAGGGAGAAGCAGTACGTATGTCTCGGCAGCTACCCTTGTATATGTCAAAAGAGGATGTAGAAGACACAATTTACAGGATGAAGCAACAGCTTGGAAATGAAAATAAAGGCTGTGTTCATGGTCGTCCATTTTTTCAACACTTAACAGATATTCCAGAATTTAAGTAACAAGCACAAATCCAAGGAAGTTATTCAGTAAAGTAGAACATTTTGTTTGGGTTTGTATTTCTTCTCCTTAATTATGACCTGTACTCTGTATTGTCAGCCTGTTTTCTACAAAGTTTTTATACAACAACTTTTCACTGTCTTAAGTTCAATGTCTTTTGTTTTTTAAAGTTCAGCTGCTATTTGTAAACTGAAAATAAACTATGAATAATGTACAGAAATTTATTTGCTACAACTCATTGCTATTTTTTCCCCATTAAGAATTTAGTTAATAAATGTTTGCAACTATCATGGTGTTTTTTCAGTGCATGTTACATAGTTTTGCATGTAAAACATGTGCCTAACAACCTGTATACCCCTTTAGTCTTACTTACTTAGTGGTATACCTCTTACCGAGGGTTAACTTACATTGCTTTCTACATTCCTCTGAATTTGATCTAAGTAATAGACACTCTGATTATCTTTCCCTGGTCTGAAGAAGAGTTCTGTGAAGCTCGAAAGCTTGTATCTTTTACCAATAGAACCTGGTCTAATAAAAGATATTACCTTGTCTACCTTGAGTCTTTAAACAATAAAGGAATATAAAAGAAACATAATGGGCCAGCTTCAGACCTGATCTCCACTGACTTCAGTGGAGTTGCATGAATTTGTCTGATTAAGATGAGAGAGAAAAATTTTCTGTAAATTTCTCTTAACTTGTTCATCATTATACATGATTCCCACCAACAGTCAGATTTTCAAACAGAGGCTGAAACTAAAGTATACATAAGTATACTTTTGCATTATGACTCCACAATGCAAATGCACCTATACTTGCAAATTTGACTCCAAATTTTCTTCTTCAAATTTCTCTGCGCTGGTCGGGATCTAAGTTGCACTGTATTTGGAGTGTGGGCCATCATTTTTCCTTTGAGTAGTAAACCATACTCCTTCAGCATCTTATGCTGACAGTTCATGCCATATGTGTACAGATTTCAACCTAAACATATAACATTGGACTTCAGTATGTGCAAATGACAACCACTAAAGGAGTAAATGCCTCACAGAGACAGAGAATCGCGGCAGGAGGTGGGATTAAATATTTCCCTTGTATAAAGTTTTACATACCCTCACATTGCTGCTGTCAATAATTTAAAGTCAAGATTCCCAGACTTTTCCCATCTGAAGTCTTTGACATCAATTTGGCAGGAGCCTGAGCTTGGTTCTGAATTAGCATAGAATAGAGCAGATCTAGCCTGGCCCATTTTAACTATGAAAGTGTGGCCTATGTAGTCGAGGTGCCAGTGTGCAGTATTCCATCTAAATGGGAGCAGCTGGACCACAATCGTCTCCAAGTGGTGCATCTAGATAGTGAATCTGAGGGAGGCTAAGAGATGTATTTGTTATTGTGTTGAGCTGCAAGTTAGACATTCCTATTTAAAGAGAAGGAAACCCAGGCATGGAGGCTTCAGGGGTAAATGTGAACAAGTGTTGCTTCATCAATTGAAGAGTACTTGGGTAGGGTAAAGGGATGAAACAGGGAGAGAGATGATTAGGTAATCACATCTTCCCTTTCCATTGGCTAATACCAGGTATGTGAGGTTTTAGCAACTGCAAAGGGGTAGGAGCTGTTAGCTGGTTCCTCTGCTGCCCCATCACTTTCCCACATACATAGATACGCTGCCTGTTGTCTAACACCTGTGCATGGCCAACATCAGGAAGTAGCAGTGGAGGTACGGGAATGGGAGCGAGTGTAAAGGGGTTCAAGTGGAGAAGCTGTTGTGGAAGAGTGTGAGGAGTCAAAGCGGAGGGATGGGAGAAGGGGCTGCCTTATTAAAGCAGCTGTCACCATTAACAATGAGAGAGGTCCATCAGTAAAGAACTGCAGAAGATGGGGGCTTTGGTGTCCAAATACAAGGCCAGCGGTTACGGCTCCCCACACATCACTCTCAACCCACCTTCCTCCCACAACCATACTCCCTTCAGCTCCTCAAACTGCTGCATCCTCACTAACCCTCCACCAACGGCCACAGAACCTGCCCCCTGCTGCTGACAGGTGGCTGCTGCTCTTGGATGCGTCACACTCCACCCCCACCTCGGCTCAGGGGCTCTCACTCATGAGACGTTGGGATGGATGCAGGGGGTAAGAGAATTTCCTGGATGGTTCCTGGCCTTTGAGGGCCCTGCAGCTGTGAGGCCTGTCAGTGGGAGTAGAGCCTGCTACAGGTGTTTCTTTTCCCTGTCTCTCCCCACCCTACCCCAAGGCTTTTTTAAGAGGCCAGTCACCTGGGTCTCCAACTGTTACCTTTTTCATTTTAAATCTAATGCGGTGGCCAGTGGGGTGATTCCCTTTCTGACTGGCCGAAGGGCAGGTCAGTCCTGCCCCAGCTCTGCCCTCTCCTGGCCCAGCCCCACTGTTCTGCCTGACACCCACCAAGGGCTCTCCTCCGGATGCCCAGGCCCCTTGCTGTGCGGGGGAGGGGGAGTGCTATGAGAGGCTGCTGCCAGAGCGCTTAGTGCTGCCTGCTTCTCAGCTCCATTTGTTTCAGAGGCCCATGGGGGCGAAGCACTCAGGAGAACACCACTCCCCCTGACCCAGGTGTGTGAGGCAACTGCCGAGGGGCACAGACAGGAGCTATGCTGGCAGGGGATAAATGGCTGCCGGGGGTGGGCAGAGATGAGTGGCTGGTGTAGAGCTGAGGGGCTATTGGAAGGTAAAGGTGCTGGTGCACTGAAGATGCTGGGTGAAACTGGAGAGCCATGAGTGCAGGTTGTGGGGCAGAAAGCCTGGGGGAGAAGTAAGAGGGGAAAGACCCTGGGAAGTGGGTCTGGAGATGCCTAAAAAGGGAGGCTTCCCAGGGGAAGAGGAGGGGCTGAATGTGAGAGATTTAAGCCACAAGAGGTGGGGAGAGGACCCAGGAGAGAGGAACAGAGAGCTAAGGCAAGGGAAGGTGATGGGTTGCATGGGAAGAAGAGGGACAGACCTAGAGAGGGAAAACAGCGTGGAGTTGCTAGGGGGATGAGGCATGAAGGGTGGGGGGAATCCCAAGGTAGAGGTGTGGTGAAAGTGGGAGAAGTTAGAGAATGTAGAAAAGTAAACTTTATCTGAGTGATAGAGGCCCAGGAGTAAGACAAGAACATTATTTAGAAAATATATGCAAATACTTTAAACATAAATATTACTGAACCCAGGAGACTTGACCCTCTAGAATGAAGATGAGGTGGGAATATGGGGACTCAGGAGAGAATTGGCAGACCTCATTGTAAATGGCAGATGGGTGGAGAATCCAGGTGTTTCTATGCACAGGAAAGAGAAAAATATAGCTATGTTTGATTTTTGTATCTTCCCTGAGTACAGACTGCTAGGCTATGAATAGCAGTCCCCAGGGATAAGGGAAGGAACAAGAAAACCAGATGCAAGCTGGGAAAGAGAGACTTCTTCCTGCCATTTGAACCAGGCTACAGATTTCTGGAGTTTGGATACAGTTTAAACAAATATATTTACCAACTTTATTCGGCTACTTATTGTAACCTATATAACATGCAGTAGTCTGATTACTGAACTGTTATGTTTCCTTTTTAAGATATAAAACAATACAAATTACAGTTAAAGATACTTGCATTTTTATAATATATACAGAATAAGGATTGGCACATAGTCTTGTGGATTAAGGTCTGAGGAATTCAGATATTTATGATTTTAATGGATTAATGCATGATTTGAATCCCATTCAAAGATTTATCACATCCTTACAACAAACATACATAGATACCATTACATTTGGGCGTATATGCTTATGTCTAACAAATCATTAAGACATTTAAATGTACACAGTAGTTAGGAGAATATAATCCATACACTATAAAAGCATTGCCCTGCAGGGCAATGCTTGGCAGCTATACAATAGTATCTCACAGAGCTATTATGAAGATAAATATATTAAAGATTGTGAGGCACCGTGATGCTAAAGATTGTGAGGCACCGTGATGCTAATGATGGGAGCCATACAAGTC